CTTGAAGTGCCCATCGATCCGTGCAGAGAGGAGGGGGAGAGAGCGGCTGCCTAAGAGGAGGGGTGCTACGGAGTGTAGAGCCGGTCTGTTTCTTGACGGGGAGAAAATAAAAGTTCCTGCTGCTACAGACTGCTCCTCCGACTGGGAGAGACAAAATAATCCAACAGACACCTAAGCAGAGCACCGAGCAGAGGACAGAGAGACAAGATCAGCTGCGGAAGGAAAAGAGGGATAGAGATGGGGAAGAGCAGCAAGAAAAAGCCCAAGGAATCGGAGACATGCACTCGGATGGCGGTAAGGGCAAATATTGGAAAATGTTTCCATAAAACAGGGGAGGAAGAGACAATATGTACACCAACAAAAGTATCGGCCTCAGCGGGAGATGGGGATCCAGCCTCGGCGGTATCCTCCATTAACGGGTCTCCAATATGTAGCGAAACTGGGCATACATTGTGTGATGAAGTTTCAGAGACAGGAAGCGATAATATTGAAATGGAACTTTCCATGAGGAAATATCTCACCTTACTCCCTACAAAAAAAGATTTGGAAGCAATGTATCAGCGCTTAGAAGATTTACACAAGAAAGATATGAAGGATTTAAATTCTAATTTGCAGAGGTTTCATGAGAGAGTGGAGGTATTGGAAACTGTAATACAATCATTGATAACGGGATATTCCGCTTTGAGGGATGGTATTCAGGAACATCATGTACAGCTCCAAACCTTGCGCTCAAATATGGACGATCTGAAAGACCGTCAGCGAAGCAACAACATTAAGATAAGAGGAATTCCCGAGGAAATGGGTATTGCGGAGCTCTCAATAACAGTACAAGGCATCTTTAACGCTATATTGGGGAACCCCAGGGCAGAGCCGATAGAGATTGATCGAGTGCATCGCATAGCAAATAGACAAAGAGCTAGTCTAAAGCAGACAAGGCATGTGCTATGTAGGGTGCACTTTTTCAAACAAAGGGAAGCGATATTGGCCAAAGCCCGAGAAAAAGGACCCCTGGATTTTGACGGAGCCTCAATTACTCTTTTTGCGGATCTGTCCTGGAGGACTTTAGCAAAGCGGAGAGCTTTGCGTCCAGTGACTAGTGCGTTAGTAACAGCAGGCATAACTTATAGATGGGGGTTTCCGTTCTACTTGCAGGCATGGAAAGATGGACGCACCTACACTTGCTGGTCTCCGATAGACTTACCAAGTTTCATGGATGGACTGGTGCTGGCTTTAGTGAAGATTGAAGCATGGCATGATCCAGCAGCCCCTGTATTCGCTCACAGCCCAGATTGGGAACAATGGAACTTGGCCGGATCGGGGTATTATTTTGGGGTATTATTTTATATGGGGGGAGGCAGAGAACATGGGGGAGGGTATTTATTTTAGATGTGGGGATGTGGAGGGCCGCAATGTTTACATTGCTTTATCTTAATATTGTTGTTGTTAATATTTATTTTTGTAACTTTATTCTGCCTTCAACATTTAAAAGTGTAATTTCGTAAGATAATTTAAGAGGGTGGGTTTAGGGGCGGAGTTAAGGCCGAGGCAGGGTTGGGGTTAGGTGGGGCAACTGGTGGCGAGTAACTCTTAAGGCCTGGCTAGTAGCTCAGGACTTGAAATTTTGAGCCCTGAAGTAGGGGATGTATATAATATCTCTGTGGGAACTAATTTTGGGACGTGGTGGTCGGGGGGGTGTAGGGTGATTCCCCCCCACCATGATACATCTGGATTATTTATTTATTCTCTTCCCCTTCCTTCTCTCCATTCCCGCTCTGCCTCCCTCCTCTTCTTTTTTTTTTTTGGCTATGTGGTGGAGGGGGAGGGGCGAATATGGTGGTAACTGGGATTCCATTAGCAAGAGAGAAACTGCATCGACCTGACTGAGATTAAGGGGATGGTGGGAGAGATACTAACCAACATGGTGGAATAAAAGGGGAGGGTTAAAGATAGGTAATATAAGTATAGATGAATATTAGGTTTAGGGCTTAGGTTGTAGGTGATTAGTGAGAGACTGGGAATGCACTCCCCCCATATGAAGCACAGAGATATGGGGACACATACAAATTATTAAGGGGAGTCACATAAAGTAATAGGTTGAGAGTGGTTGAAATAAAGTAATAATAGATATAGGCACATATTAAAATGGATGGAAAGAGGAAGTAATAATACTTACTTGGAACACGCAATAGGTATAGGATCACATTGACATAAGGGGTAAAAGGATTGTAGGGTGGGGTAATTTTAGAGCCCCCCTTCTTTAGATCACGATAGAGGTTAAGCAGGAAATTGGAAAAGAGGTCGCTCCCCTAAGCAAAAGGAGGATCCCACCATCCCTGTGATAGAGAATAGAGATTTGTAATTAAGGAAGGAGAAATGAGAATAAGTAATAGAATGATGGGGTCTCGGGTCCACCATGCTTGGCTCTCCACTGCCCGGCTCTACCCTCTGGCTATGGAGAGGGGGGGGGGTGTTTCCTTACTGCACGGAGATAATGGATTTGTTGAAGCTAGTATTGAGTTTCTATCATAAGAAGAGGGTGGGTGCGAGCTGAGCCGAATTGGGTATAGAAATGGTTGAGATTGTATATCTTAAAAAGTCAAGAAGGGGGAACATGGGAGGAGCTTCATGGTATGAGCTTGCCTATGTTTCCCCAGTGGACTTTCTTTTGTTTTTCCCCCTTGTCCTTTTTGTATGTTTTTGTATGGGCACCTAATTGCTACTTGTTTAATATATGCTTATCTGCTGTGAATGCCGATGGCTGATCTTAATATATTGACTTATAATATTAGAGGGCTTAATACTCCCGTGAAAAGACATCACTTTTTGCGTGAATTACGCCAACTCCATTGTGATGTGGTGTTTGTGCAAGAAACTCATTTATCTCATTACACTCGAGTGCGGCTAGCTTCGACCTATTATCCCACCTAGTACTATAGTATGTCAGACTCGAATAGCTCTAAAGGAGTGGCGATCGGCTTTCACAAAAATGTTAAGTTCCAACACATGTCTACAATGAGTGGCTCGGAGGGGCGATACCTATTTCTTAAAGGACAAATTGATAACCGAATGATTACTATGGCTAATGTATATGCCCCCAATAGACGCCCTTATACTTTCCTCCGGGAGACTCTAGGCCTAATGTCAGAATTTCAGGAGGGGATCACGGTCTTTGCGGGAGATTTCAATCTGCACCTTGAACCTCACCTTGATTCTTCCAATGGTCGATCTCACATAGCGTAATATAAACACCTTAAAACTTTTAAGACACTATTGCACTCTATGCAATTAATGGATACATGGCGGATTCTTCAACCCCTGTGTGCGGGATTACACAGTATTTTCTTCTGTACATAATACTTACACTAGGATAGATTATATTTAGAGATGCTACACAACACATCTATTCTTTCTTCTACCCTTTCGGATCATGCTCCGGTGATGGCTTCCTTGGGGATCTTGAGAAATGCCCGCCCACCCTCTTGTTGGAGATTGAACGATTCCCTCCTGACTGACAAGAGCATATTGGATGCTATTGAAAAAGACATTAAAGGAGAACTATGAGATGAGTGATTTCCACTCACCTCATAGTTCTAAGCCGACCTGTGACAATGAGACTGTCACAGGTCGGCTCAGTAGATCGGGAGGTGAGGGAACACATACCGGGTTCCCTCACCTCTCGATCCTGTCACGGCTCTCTGCCGTGACAGGGGGAGGGGCTGGATTCCCCTCTCCCCGCTCCGATCTGCCAGCGCTGACTGGCGGAACGGACGGGGGAGGGGGCGGGTACAGCTGGCTCTGCCTCTAGATAGGCAGAGCCAGCTGTCACTCACGCAGCTGGGCGGATCTCATCATCTACGTCGGGATCCGCTCCAGGTGCGGCATAGCTCGCGGTATACTGAGCTTAGGGTAACGGGAGGACGCTAGTTTGTGTCCTCCCGTTACCCTAAGGAGAACTATGGGGAAAAACACTGACCCCATAGTTCTCCTTTAATTATTATTTTTCTGAAAACTCTATTAGGGGCTCTCTTATTGCGCATGGTTCATGGAAAAAGAGGGAAGCGGATAGTAGGATATCTGACTTGACGGCGAAAGTAATTGCACTAGAGCGGGCGCATAAACGCACACTGACTCTCACTGCCCACAAGGAGTTGACGAATGCGAGAGAGGACTTGAGAGAAGCGCTGACCAATAGCTATAAGCGCTCTCTCAGCTACCTCTCTCAATGCACTTACGAGCTGGGGGATAGACCCGGGAAACTATTGTCTAAACTGTTGAAGGATCGGCAGGGGGCAAATTTAATAGCCAAAATAAAAACGAATCAAGACATTTTGGTTCATACCACAACAGCTATTTCTGATGCCTTTCGGGAATTTTACGCTACTTTATATAATGTCAGGCCGGATCCTACCCTCCATGCTAAACAACTTCAACTACAACGTATAGAATCCTACCTTAATAACATTCACATCCCGAAACTGTCTAATATTCAAATGGAAACACTTGAGTCCCCTTTGAGTGAACAGGAAATACAACAGGCAATTGCATCCATGGCGCCTGGTAAAAGGCCAGGGCCCTATGGCTTTACCCTTAAATATTATAAAACTTTTCAACAGTTACTTAGTCCCCATTTGTGTAAATACTTTAATTCTTTTTTCTTTGGTACAGGACCACTCTCGACAACCCTCCACACTCATATATCGTTTTTTCTTAAATCGGATAAAGATCTATCCTTCTGTGGTAGCTACCGGCCCATTTCCCTTCTAAATACGGATATTAAACTGTATGCTAAGATCCTTGCGTCTCGGCTTAAAGGATTGATGCCCCAGCTGGTCCAGTCGGACCAGACGGGCTTCATCCTGGGCCGATAGGCAAGAGACAGCACACAAAGAGCCATTTCTTTAAACCATAAAGCTTCTTCCTCTTTAAAGCATACGATGCTTTTGTCTTCGGTCCACACATCAACATACTGGCATAGGCCCTAGATTTCTGTCTGGGATTATGGCCTTGTATGAAAAACCCACCGCCCAAATTAAGGTTAATGGCCACCTTTCTGACAGTTTTACTTTATATAATGGGACTACAAGGCTGCCCTTTGTCCCCTTTATTATTTGCAATATCTTTGGAACCCTTCCTTATCTCAATTAGGCAGAACCCCGATATAGCAGGTATTATGGTTGGCAATCGAGAACATAAATTAGCGGCCTACGCCGATGACATACTTTTTTTTATCCAGCAACCTTTGATCACATTACCCTCCCTTTTTAGGGAATTTGAAGTGTTTAATTTAATATCTAATTTTAAAATTAATCTCACAAAATCCGAAATGTTAAATATCACTACACCTTCACAAGTGGTAGCATCTATACGAAGCACTACGCCCTTCACTTGGCAGGCCCACAAGATGAAGTATTTAGGTATTTATTTGACTTCACGATTATCTGATATGTACACAAATAATTATATCCCTATATTGAATGCAATTAAAAGGGATGTGACTAAATGGCTTTTTCACCGTCCTTGTATTTCTTTAACAGGCAGGGTAAATGTCATTAAAATTACAATCTTGCCTATAATTCTTTATTTGTTTCAAACTTTACCCATAACTCTACCTAGTTCTTATTTGCGCACTCTTAAATCGGTAGTAGGCCGCTATGTATGGAGACGTGCTCCAGCTAGGATCTCTCATGGGACTCTTATTCGGACTCGGGCTACAGGTGGTTTAGCCTTAGCTGACTTTGCTTTATATTATCAAGCCATTGCACTTAATAGATTACTAGATTGGAATTATCATGTGGAGACCAAGCAGTGGGTACAGATAGAAAATAGTCTTTCAGAACAAACGTTATCAACTGTAAGCTGGATCCCCCAACAATTTAGACTTCTGGGCCCAAATACCTCCCCCCTGACTCATCACACTCTGAAAATATGGGATAAACTATACCCACGATTGGTGGGTAATTATAACTCCCCTTTGATGCCTTTGACAGGCCACTCCTTTTTTATGCCGGGACTTCAAGGCCAAGGTTTCCTTGATAGGACAACTCGCCCGCCTCCTGCGCTTTCGCAGGTGTGGGATGGGTTGCAGTTATATTCGTTGCCACAGCTCCAAGAGCGTTGTGGGATATATCCACTGGATTGGTGGAGATATAGGCAACTGTGGCATTTTGTGGCCTCATTACCGAAACCTTTGCGCACTATGTCTGACTTAGCATCTATGGAAAAACTCTTATCCTTGTCAGAACCACCGTGACATGGTGTGTCACGAATATATTCGATTTTGCTGGAACTATTCTCCCAAACATTTCCTCAGTATCTTACGCAATGGGAAAGGGAATTGCAAGTTACATGGACTGACTTGCAAAAGCAAGGTATATTACGTGCCAACTCCAGTTTATCCATTAGCACCTTGGTTACTGATACAACATTTCGCTTTTTGGCAAGATGGTATTATACACCGGACCGTGTACATGCAATGCATCCCCTAAGTGTAGCTACTTGTTGGAGGGGATGTGCGGCTACTGGCACCTATTTACATATTTGGTGGTGTTGTCCTCGGATTAGGCCATTCTGGAAACAGATTGTCCAAGGTGTTGAGAAAATTACTAACATCTCTCTACCCTTGGAACCATCGATATGCCTCCTTCATGCCACTACAATTCCACTGTCTACATATAAAAAGTTGTTGATACCCACTCTCTTGAACGCAGCTAGGGCTTTAATTCCTTTACATTGGAAAACAGCTAATGTCCCTACTTTGAAGGAATGGTTTAACAGAGTGGATTATTATAGACGGATGGAAGAATTGACTGCTATTAAATATGATAAATATGAAAGATGTAAAAATAAATGGCAGCCGTGGGTTGAGTTCCAACAAATGAGCCTGTACCTAAACAATGTGGCCCATTCTTGAAAAGTCCTCTGAGATACCACTTGTCTTTTTGGGGAGTAGAGGTACTTATCTACTTATGTATTTATTTTCATTGGGATTTAGTTATTCAGGTTCCCAGATAGCAAGAAATTGTGCTGCAAGTTTGAAAATGACTTGCTAAACTATTGCAGACTTGCCAAGCTTCACAATTTTGTTGCACAATTACATCAAGTCTGCATTGCAAGTCTCCAGACCAGCGAGCTTGCAGAGCTCTTGCTAAGACCTGCAGGACTCTTGCTGTAGACTTGCCAAGCAAATTTGCTACAAATTCAAAAAGTGTCAACTAGAACTTGTGCTGCGAGTGTTCTGCAAGTCTACCACCTGCCAGGAATATGTGCAGCAAGTTAACAAGAATTACAATTTAACCCTGACACAGGTTCGTGGCAAGTTATCCTTGCTATCTGGGTTTATAATGAATGTTGAAGTCCACATTAGGTGGCAGCGTATTGGATAAATGGGTGCCCATGCCCATACCTTTTCCTTATGTCCCCCCCCCCCTCCTTTCCCTTTACCCCTTTTCTTTATATGTTCCTCCCTATGTAATTCCTTGTCTGTAGTCTATGAGTGGTTACCCATGTGGTGTAACATCAGGATGCTCAGGATGCTCTGATTCTCAATGGCATTGGGAAATGGAACATTTGCATACTGTGAAGCTTGATCTGTTTTAAAACAACTGGAACATTGGAGTCTTAAAATGGGTTCTTAGCTCTTTAAATGGGTTCCACTCGTCTCTCCCCTTGTATGTGTATTTATATTTATATGTTGTAAAATGTATTCATATGATTGTAATTGCTATTTGTTATGTGATAAATAAAATGGAAGAAATTGCCAATTATGGTGGAAACATCTTTATATTTTTGAGGCACCATTAAGGCAAGGAGAAATTTTTTCAAACACATGGGGGAGACATTTGAACACTTGAATTATCTTTCCTTATGTGGTAACACTAGAGTAGAACCAGGATTAATATACTTACAGAGTTATTCAGAAAAAGGGTGAAGAGTTTGGAGAAGGCCGGAGAAGTGAACAATCTAGGACAACATCGCTGAACTGGAAAAATTCTCCAATTCAGCTCACTTTCCAGTTCAGATATGTTGTCCTAGATTGTCCTAGGACTACCTCAGTCCCCCCCCAGCCCCGCCCTCCCCCACACACACATTTACCTGTCAGCTGCTCTCATTGCGCAGCCGGTACCGAAGTGATCCTCCGTTCCCTCGAACTTCCAGGTTGCGGGAGGAGGATACTGATGGTAGAGTAGCCATAGGCTCTTTCTGCCATCAATCAACGAGGGGAGGGGCGTGGCCTGCCACAGGGCTGTGTGTGTCTATGGACGCACACAGCCACTGCGGAAACGAGCGCGCATGGGTACCTCCATTAGAACGATGGTGGCACCCGTACAGGGGGCATGGGGAATAGCGCTGTGGGGACCCACCAGAAAATGAGGAATGAAAAACTTTTAAAGAAAAAAAGCAATAGCCTCCAGCAAAGGAGGGTCTCCTTAAAGGAGAAATAAAAAATTAGGCTTTAATATCACTTTAATATTTGAGAATCTTGGAGACCGAAATATATGTTGAATTAATTGTTTTTGTTTCTCATGCTCAAATTAGGGATTATATCCATAAGATCAAATAGATAGGTCATAATACCCAATGTAAAATGTGTCCTACAAAAAGTAGGGCCAATATATAAAATTCTAAGGACTGCATGTGAGCCTGATGGACTTTAGGATCTATGGAGTAAAAAAAATACATGATAGTAAATGGAAGGCCCATTTTCCACATTTCCACAATGTCGATTACGTGGATATGAGAGTACAAGTAGAATTCTGAGAATTAAAGAATTAAGAATTAAACAACTGATTAACAGGTCATATACAGTTTATTTCTGTTAAAAAATACTCTAAGAAAGGGAGAAAAATTGCTTGACGTGTCGATTAAGTTCTTCAGACTTTAACCATGTGATATGATTGTGGCCCATTTAAGAAATTTTGGGGCAAACTGACTTTTTGGTAGAACAATGTAATAGGAAGGTTTGTGAAACTGGGTTTTTTTTTAAATATGCTAGATTTGGAAAAATTAAATAGAAAGGAATTGGTAACCACTGCAATGCTTAGGCTTTTAAGACTTTTATATGGTTAGACAAGAAGGTCCTGAAAGTGCAAGAAGTGCAGCTGAAAACAGCAGGATATATAATCATGGAATACTACAAAAATCTTGGACAGAATATAACTGACGTCAATCAAAAAATTCCACCAAAGTTGCGAAAGTTTCTGGAAAAGTAGCCTGATATTTTTAACAAGAAATATTTCTATTTATAAGATCTTTATATTGTTGTTGTTTAGTCTTTTTTTTGTTTTGTTATGGTTACGTGTTTTTCTCTGATTCTACAGTTTATAAAATATTCATATTTTATATGCTATGTGTTTATTAAGAAAAATGGTAAAGAAATAAAAAAAAAAACAAGAAATGCATTTTGGAGGTATAGTATATAAAAGGAGAGATATTTATACTTACTGCCTAGTATGTTATCCTGAAGTTCCTGCAGATTTTCAAGGCCTTTCTTTATGCATACGGTCTTTGCCAGGGGTGGTCTTTCCCCAATACACAGACGATAAAATTGTGATTTTAAAGATTCTGCCAAAACGAAAAGTTAGACGTTTAGAACATTTACCGTACATATAAAAAATGGCTACATGGAGCTACACTAGACAGGCTGAAGGATGGATAATTTATTAAGTGCTGCACTGGGTTTTGCTAACAAATGCATTTTTATAATAAATAAACTGAACTCCACAAGTAAAGAAAGTTGTATTTTTAAAAATACTCCTGTTTTGGGAAGTAACAGAAGGGTGCTTTTAAATACAGGACATCTGATGAATCTCTCACTAAGGACATATTTTCTAAACCTAAAGGAGAACTATGAGGTGAGTGAAAATCACCCATCCTCATAGTTCGAGCCGACATGTGACAATGAAACTGTCACAGGTCAGCTCAATAGATCGGGAAGTAAGCAAATGCATACCGTCGCTCGCTCACTTCTCGATCATCTCCCTGCAGAGAGCCGTGACTGCCAGTCATGGCTCCCTACAGGGATTCCCCCCCTCCCCGATCCAATCCTCCAGCGCTGACTGGCGGAACGGATGGGGAGGGTCGGGTACAGCTGGCTCTGCCTCTAGATAGGCAGAGTCAGCTGTCAATCACGCAGCTGGGCGGATCTCGACAGTAATGTTGGGTTCCGTTCCGGCTGCAGCGGTCTCAGTATACCGCGAGCTTTAGCCACCTATATACTGAGCTTTGGGTCACGAGAGGAGGTTAGTATATGTCCTCCCGTGACCTTTAAGAGAACTATGGGGAAAAACACTTACCCTATAGTTCTCTTTTAAGATAGCCCTGGATTTACCTTGGATTGTCACCCTGACTGTCTGAAATTGAACAGATTATAAGATGTTAGTCCAAATTCTATTGCCAAATTTTATTCTTTAAACATATGCACCCACTCATGATTCGGTATTTACTTAGATTTAAATTGAAAAAAAAGTGCAAGAGACGACTGTGCTATAGAATACAGTTTGCCTCATGAAAACAAGAATATGCCACCTCTGTCATCACAACTCCAAAAACAAGGGTTTGAGTATAGTAGATAGAGCCATAGAAATCACGTTAGCCCCGGTGCCCAAATGCATATACAGAATCATTTGGTATTAAATAGTATTCAAAGACGTAGCTTAGGTTCTCCAGCCCCTTTATGAGTTTTGTTGCCCTTCTCTGGACTCTCTTCAGCTCAAGAACATCTTTCTATGGACCGGTGATCAAAATTGAACCACAAACTCAAGATGAGGCCGAACCAGTGTTTTGTAAAGGGCAGAAATATGGAGTACATGCCCTTTTTATCCATGATAGTAGTCTGCTAGCTTTATTTACTATTTCCCTGGCATTTTATGCTAATACTAAGTCTGCAGTCAACTATGACCAACAAATATTTTTTCACCTCTGATTCCCCCAGTGGAGCTCCCATTAACCTCCCTGGCGGTATGATTATGTCAGGAATTTTGTGCCAAAAGCGGTACAATTTTTTGCGTAGAAATTTGGTGTTATGTATTGTAGGCCTGCAATTCTTAGTAATTACTTACTTAAACCTGACCAAGCAAGACTTTAGTAGACGTTTTAAAATGAACCCCGAGTCACGCTCGGGATTACCGCCAGGGAGGTTAATGACTAACTTGCTTGTATATTCTTAACAACAAAATGCATACATTTAATTTTGTTAATATTAAACCTCATTTACCATGTAGTTGCCCACCCCCCTAATTTATCAAGGTCTTCCTGTAATGTTGCTATGTCTTTTGTCGAGTTTATTACCCTTCAGATGTTGGTATTATCAGCAAACACTGATATATGGCTATTAATTACAACCTCAATATCATTATTTGGGCATCTATTTGGCAAATGAGGTTTAATGTTGATAAATGTAAAGTTCTGCACTTGGGGGCTAAAAAAAAGTTTTTTTCTTTAAATTAAAATAGCTTATTAAACGTGATATACCGAGCAGGCACAAAGAGTGGGAACAGCCACCAGGTATTGCAATACAATAAGAGGAACGTTTCAGTATATAAAGCACCATCAATTCAAACAGTAATTACAGGGCAGACAATAAATAAAAAAGTATTAAAAGGGTGCCATCAAACGCCACAAAAAGTATATTTAAAAAAAAAGCTTACCTTGGACTCAACTTCCTGAAGGGCCCGGTGATGTCACTTTGGCTCACAGCTGCAAATTAATAGTTACTGAGCAATATGAAGATGCAGCAAAGTTTATAAACCTCTAGTAAACATCTCCTGGCTATGAAGTGATAACACGGGATGGTGGAGATAAACCTATAGCAGGATTTTTAATGGAAACAGTAGAACCCTACCTAATCCAAAGCAGCTGATGAATTTACAAAACATCGATAACACTGAGATAGATAAGCAATTTACCTGACGGTTCGTTAGTCATTATCTTTGCCCACTTAGAAGCTGACAATCTCTTTTCCTTTTGATCAGCATCAAGTATCCAAGACTGTGGATCATGAGCAAATGCAAGGCAACACACTGGCTTCACCTCCAGAAAGATAACGTAGCCTGAATCTCCCTGGTCAGTGTCCTTTACGTCTTTAATAGTTAGGGTATAGAAGCGGTCATTGGAATCCCGATCACTGGAATCCTGATCACTGGAATCACAAAAGTGGACAATTTTCAATTTGTCAATGGCCCTTTTTATACACTCTTCAAGTTCAGGTTTCGTTAAATCCTTTCCACAGCCCGTAATTATTCCATTGTCATCTATACCAATAATCATATATCCTCCATCACTGTTCCCAAAGGCTGAGAAATAAAGTTTTATTATTTCTTTCATCCTAACTTCCAGTTTTCCTTTTGAAAAATCTTTGAATTCTACGTGTTCTGATTCAGTCAGTCCGAGATTTTCACCCAAGCAAAGGTGAGGTTTATCCAACCAATGTTTGATTTGATTTGGCTGCCAAGAGGCACCTGAAGAGCGACAGGCCTTCTTCACATTTCCTCTAGCACGGTTCAACAGCTGCATACCATCTGACTTTATTGTTGAGGTACCCGATCGAACATATAGTCCAGTGTCTAGACTACAGAGCTTTGGAAAGCCATTCTGAGTACTCCAGGTTTTAACAAAAATAAGTAAAAATGACTGACATTGAATGAGATCAAGGTAATCCTGCAAAAGTAAAGAAGAAATCAGTTCAGATAGTATTGTTTTAATGTCTTCTGGTAATCCATCTTGAATGTAGTTGTAGTCTTTGTCTGCAAAGCCCACCCGCACTATTCCTCCTCCAGAATTTAATAAGGTGCACACTGCTTTGCTTATGTTTTTCCTCTGGATTATTCGTTTTTGTTTCGCTATGCTCTTTCTCTGATTTTTACCCAGCGTGGCTTCTCCAGCATACAAAACTTGGTCAGGGTAAGATGGCAGGTCACTTGACCCCATATCACTGGAAGAATTAAAAACAAGTGTTAGGATGGTAAATAAATCAAACTTACCATGATATGTTGCATGCAATTTAACAAAGTTTGAAATCAATTTATAGAGGGAATCATTATCAACAGATATTTTATAATTCATTGACCAGTAGAATAAAGGACACAGATGCACATCATTAGAATCTGAATAGGCAGCTTGGGCCTAATTCACACCCAACTGCCCCTGTCAGGTTCTGGGGCAGATAAGGGTGAACTTCTCAACCACACCAACGCAGGAGTCAAGAGGTCTCTCTACACTAAGCTCTGCTCTGTCTGGGTAAGGGTTGTCCTTTTCATAGATCAGAGGAACTATGTTATCAGTCATAGGGAGAATAAACTGATTCTCTCTGATAATATATATTATAAGCTACATGCCCATATAAAATTGTAGGGTTCGGTTGTATGCAGTCACCTAGAAACCAATAAAACAGTTATTTGGGGCCTGCTTGCAGCAGCCATGAGGTGAGTGGACCAATCTCTGTCACCAAATAGATCAATAGACCAATAGGCTGTGTGAGCATTTCAATGGTACTTTAAAGCAGATGCTCAAAGTGTTTGTGGAATCTCAGGGAGAGACTGGGAAAGGCATTTACCCTACCAGCTCTTCAACCACTGTGAGGTTCTCCAGGCAGCGACTTGATTCTCTCCCGTCGAGCCTTTGTATGGGAGAAGGGTCCATGGACCCCTCAGTCTCATTCAAGAGCTCTAGGAGGGACAAAATATGGGTCCAGGAGTGTCAGTGGTAGAGTATGTCCTAAAAATTCTAGCTAAAATGGACACTGATGGACCTAGTTCTGTGCATGCACGCCACCATCTTGGAGGCACAGCGTGTGACGCCGCATGATGGCGCATGTGCGTGCTGTGACATCATACGCATGTATGTGTGCCACCATCTTGGATACACCAAGATGGCGGCGCCTATAGGAAACATATTAATATATGACCCAATATATTTTTCGGATATTTAGGCCTTGTTCACACCAAGTGCGGAGCAGGTGCAGAGCAGTTGCAGACCGGATCAAAACTGCGTCCAATGTATTCCAATGGTATTTTTTGCTCCAGTTCATATCGCAGCGTTCAGTTACAGCAAGCCCTTTTTTACCTGCTCTGGACCTGCTCTGGAACGCATGCAAACGCATAAAAAATGCATGCAAATGCCTGGAACGCACTGATAGCCCATGTCGCATGCAAATGCCTGGAACGCACTGAAAGCCCATGTTAAACGGGGAAAAAAACTGCCCGGAACGCATCAAAAACGCGGCACAACCCACTGCACTGCGTGTGCAGAAACCTGAGCGGATCTGCTCTGCGTTTGGTGTGAACAAGGCCTAAATATCCGAAAAAAAAGGCATTTAATAATTTGTTATTCTGGATTCGGACGACCTGCTGAATCAACAGAATTTAATTGATTGGAAAGTTCGACCAAATCCGAATGCACATGTCTAATGACCAGACTGCCCAGGAGAGAGTGTATGAAGTGGGATGGAAGGTGTGAGTACTGGTACCCGTGCGGCCGAATAAGCCGCAGGCTGCATGGGAGAGACCATACACTGTACATGATGTTACTTATGTGGTATCCTTTCATGACCAGAGTAAGCCGCTTAAGGTGTACCATAAAAACATGATAAAGGTGGATCATGACAGGTCACCCTGTGCTCTCCCAGTCTATAGTTTGTTACTACAGCGTGAGGCAGAGCCACTGGTGGATCTCCTGGCTGCTACCAAGGAGCCTTGGAGGGATACAAATCAGCCTCCAACTGACTGCAGAGCAACAGGCTGAGCTGTCTGAAGTGCTGGTGCCCCTTCAGGGTACCTTTACTACATGGCCCAGACTGACGGGTCTAGCTGTGTACAAGGTATACACGGGGAGCCACCAGCCTATCAGGCAGTCAGCGTATAGGGTCTCCCTAGAAGTCCAGACAGACATTAAGAGGCAGATCAAGGAAACTCTGGCACTGGGGGTGATACAAATCTCTCAGAGCGTGTGAGGATTACCTGAAGTTCAAAGTATCTCAAACCCTGTCAGGAGCCTTGCGCCCCGGGGGGTCGGGAAGTAGGTCCCTTCTTTGGAAGGACCTTGCACCCTTGTGCACGTTTTTGTGTGCTGTGATTTCACGGTTCACTTTTTTTGTTCACAGGGGGAAGTTTGTTTAGATGCACGTCCACGGGCTTCGAAAAAAAACAAAACAAGTACCCAAATCGCTTCTCGGCCTTTTGGCTAAGATCAAGTGTAGTATCTGTTCTTATCAGTTGCTGGAGGGGAAAGGATGCTGCCATCTATTGGAGAGGCGTATGTGTCCTAGTACCCTGTGGTGTAATTGGTGGGTGCTCGAGGAGGTTCAGTCCCTGCTGGATGTGTCAGACCCGTAGGTATCGGGTTGACCCCCGTGGGGAGGAACCTCTGAGGGTGCTACCTTCTGATGGGAATGGGTGCTTGCTTGGCCTGGCTGGAGGGTTGGGGGCGGTGGAGCCTGTGGTGCTGTGCCCCCTGGGGGTGGCGTCCCAGGGGTGCCAGAGAATCACATTGGGTGTGGAACCCCAACACTGATTCACTGTCACATGGACACGGCACCTAGCAGTTTCTGCACAACGCCTCTTGGACAGGCCTTATGGCTAGTCCGGGGCAATAATTTTGCACTCCGGCCCTTAAGGCCTGTCAGCGTGGTGCACTGGCACTTAGAATTTTATTTATGCACTTAATGCACGATTGGCACTTTTTGACTTTCACAGAATGATGGAGGGTGCAGGTACCTTCGGGCCTGTTTCCTGAAGTTGGGGAGGAGGTTCTGTGACCTACAAATGGGCCCCTCTGCCTTCTCCCACCTGTGGGGGGTCTCCCTTCGGGAGAGCCCCCCAACCTAGTACTCGGTGGACCTGTTTCGGCAGGTCCCAGAGGATCGGGGTCCGCTGGCCTTCGGGTTGACGGACCTAAGTCGTTCTTATCCCTGTCAGGAGCCTTGCGCCCCGGGGGATCAGGAAAAATTGTGGCCCTTTTACTAGAAAGGACTAAGCACCCATGTGCACGTTTTTGTGTGTTGTGATTTCACGATTCACTTTTTTTGTTCAGAGGATTCGTTTTCGAGCACGCTCCACGGGCTTTAAAATAAAACTAGTACCCAAATGGGATCAGACCACCAGGTTTTGTGTAGACTATTGGAAACTGAATGCGATCACAGCTTTCAATACCTTCCCAATGCCAAACGTTTATGAATTGTTAGATAAGCTGGCCAGTACCTGCTATCTAACAATCATGGACCTAAGCCGGGGGTACTGGCAGATCCTTCTGAGGCTCGGGAAAGATCTGCCTTTATCACCCCCTTTCGTCTATTCGAATTTAATGTTATACCGTTTGGTATGAAGAATGCCCTAGCCACTTTCCAAAGGATTGCGAACACTCTACTGGAAGGGATGGAACACTGTGCGGTGGTCTATCTAGACAACATTGCAGTGTTCGGTGCTACATGAGAGGAACACTTGCATTTGTCACGGGTGTTGGAGAAGATCACAGCAGGTGGCCTGACAATTAAGCCCAACAAGTATCAGGTCGGCATGACAGAGGTACAATACCTGGAGCATGAGTGAGGGAGGCATTAGTCCAGCCAGGGACCGTGAAGGTGGATGTCCTCATGTCGTGGCCCACCCCTCAGACCAGGAAACAGGTCATGTCCTTCCTGAAAACTGCAGGGTACTATAGAAAGTTAATTCCCTACAAACTGCAGGTGGTGGCAGACTACCATGAGTCCTGTGTCTGGTGTGTGTGGGTGTGTGAGCAGCGTGAAAGTGGTAACACAAGGATTCTAGCTTGCAAGATAGCTTAAGGATTTCACAGAAGTGTATGGTAATCACTAGGCTGCTGCACAGCCCTTAGGCTCCATTCACACCTAGGCATATTTCCGCAGCTGATTCTGCGCTCCACCTAAGAAATCCCATTAATTTCAATGGCCCCCTTTCAAACCTGTGAGCTTTGCTGCAAGCAGAAATACCCCTGTCGCTCGAAATAGTGCATGAGCTACTTTGGGGCAGATTTCAGCGCGTTGTCGTCAAAACTCCTGGAATACTGTAGGTGTCACCTAGGTGTGAATCCAGCTTAGAGTGCAACAGATTGCATGTAAGATTTGTATCTGTATGTATGTGTGTTCAGCAATATGGATGGTCCGACTGTTCGATCCGAACATGAGTTCGAATTGAACATCGGCCGTTCGAGCGTTCACCGAACTTTATGGGACGTTCGCGGTTTGTTTGACCGTGGAACGTCCCATAATAGCAAAATGCCCTCCAAAGCTCTAGTTGGTTAAAGTCTTGCACCTGACCACAGGACTCTGCCAAATCATGTCTCGCCTATCAGATGACAGCAAACTACACAATTGGGCGGAGTTAGATGTCACCGCTAGCTCCGCCCAATTGTGTATGTTTTGCCGGCATCTGTCAACATGCCATTATGCGGTGGGAGTCGGCGGGGAGCAGACAGGACAGCGGACGGCGTTTTTTAAAAATTATTATTTCTCTTTATTTTTTTATTGTTTTAGTTTTTATTCCGTTCGTCACAGACAACGCTGGACGCCGTGATTGACCCTGGATGACGTCGGTGGATCCATTTTTTTTTTTTTAAATAAAAGTTTTGTGGGGCATTGTCTTGGTGAACGAATTCATATAAGTGAAATGGTTATAGATTTTTATGTCCCCCCAGGGCAGTACCCTGATCCCCATACATGTCACCCAGGGCAGTACCCGGATCCCCATACATGTCCCCCAGGGCAGTACCCGGACCCCCATACATGTCCCCCAGGGCAGTAGCTGGACCCCCATACATGTCCCCCAGGGCAGTACCCGGACCCCCATACATGTCCCCCAGGGCAGTAGCTGGACCCCCATACATGTCCCCCAGGGCAGTACCCGGACCCCCATACATGTCCCCCAGGGCAGTAGCTGGACCCCCATACATGTCCCCCAGGGCAGTACCCGGACCCCCATACATGTCCCCCAGGGCAGTAGCTGGACCCCCATACATGTCCCCCAGGGCAGTACCCGGACCCCCATACATGTCCCCCAGGGCAGTAGCTGGACCCCCATACATGTCCCCCAGGGCAGTACCCGGACCCCCAT